GAATCACTAGTTATAGATACTATAAGCTCTTCTTTATCATATCATGCCTTTTAGCAACAATTTTATAGCAAGATATCTACTTTTTCAGTGTTTTATCTAATGAGAAGAGTAAGATCAAAGGGAAAGAAGCGCTGGAAAAAAGTACTCATTAGTTTTGCTTGAACCGCTGGTAGGTTGTAGATGTAAGCATTCTGAAAACAATTGTCAAAGGTCATCATGGTAAATTTTGCTTTTGAGAATCAGAAATGATTGAAATACTTTCAAGTAGATAATCTGCAGCAAAAATAGCTAGAGCTTTTGCTTTACCAACATTTTCTAGTTGAACGTTCGCTTTATCTGCCATACAGATAAAGCAAACACCTAGTATATTTTTAAGAAATCAATAAAAAATCGAAAATACATTCGATTGAGCTGAACCGCTGGAATTAGATAGAAGTCAAGGAGAGGAATCGAATTATGTCATTTGAAAAAAGANTATTACGCCACGTGAGATTTTCATCGGCACATTAATCGATTTAGTTAGATGTTTACCTAATCTTGATTCATTAGTGATATCATCTTTAGCAATGACACAACCAAGATGTTAATCTATTGAAGAAACAAGACATTTTCGTTTATTATCAAATAACAACAAAATTATTAAAGTCAATCTTAAACAAATGAGTGACATAGCACAAGTTCAGTTTCTTCTTGATCTTTGTTCTCAAATGAAAGATTTCGAGATAGGCTCTACAAATGATGTTTCACTCGAAAATGTTATACGATTTGTTTTAATGAAAAATATCAAAAATACTTCTAATCTATATTTACTGTCTTAAAATTCCACAAGCAAATATGAACATGGTTGACAGATTAAAAAGCATAATTGACTTTGAACAGTTATCTCATAACTATAGAATACAACAAATAGACACTGAAATCCATTTACGGTTGAACTAATAATAATTAAGTTGTTTTATAAATTTTGTAATCAAATAGATATTTCATACATGAAATAAAGCTTTTAGCCATCTATTATTTCAAATAATATATCAAATAAAGAGTTTAAGAAGAACAAAAGAGAATGTAGCGACACGTTATCTTATATATGTCACATAAATTAAGTCGAGTTGGCTTAAAAGGTAATCTTGTACAAAATGAAATATGTCTTAGCATAACATATATTCGGAAGAATTTTGACAGAAAGCTTATAAGAAAAAAATCCATATTAGACGTGTATTTCGACATAAGTTCTCTGGATGAACTATAGTAATTGTGCAAAGTCTTCGTCTGAGATTTTGTACCAAGTTTAAATGTGCCCTGTCTTGTGTAGCTAGAAGAACTCTATCAAATTTTAGATATTTCCTACTGTTTGTTTTGTGGTAGATTTGAAGTAGACTTTGAGAAACACGTACTGTTAATACTAACGACGAATTAGAATATTTCAACTAAGCATTCTTTATCTAGCTTGTTTCAAAAATTTATGAACTGTGTTAAGTACAAGATTCATAATGCAATTAATTGAATCCATGTTCAAAGCCTTCTTAAAGTGTGATATGGATGTAGAAGTGTTTGTGAAATCGATCCACAAGAAATTATTATCGATTATACTGGATACAAGTGAAGAATGGATGTAGCTGATATATACTTATAATCTGTTTATTACTGGAAATTCAGTATGAATAAGTCTAGAGAAGTGATCATCTTGCGCAATCACAATCGAAAGTCTGCGATTTCTATGACGACTGAAGAAAGAAACTACAAAATAAGTAAGAGATATCTCATAGAGTGAATACTATACTGCTTAAATTTGATTTGACATTTAGGTTAAAATAAATAAAATCATTATAAATTCCTTTCGATCATAGAATTTGAATATACTAAAATGAGAATCTACAACTATGGTTCCGATCACTTCTGAGTTGTCAGTGTTGATTATATCATAATCTGTAGCAATTCAAAACATCACTTTCCACAATCTTTGATACTCTTTCATGTCATTGACTATGTGTAAAAAGTCAAACACATATTCTAGTCGTATCTATTTCGACGAAGCCTTTGGAATATTCTCAAAACATCTAAGTTTTGTTCTTAATACTTGTATTGACGAGGAATCTTCGGAGAAAAGTTAGATACCTGCCATCCTTAGTTACTGTGAAAGATATTCATTTCGTTAGCGTTACTAGAGCTATGAATAACATTAAAGTTAGAATTATTTGTAACTACAGTTCACATTTTGACTATTTAACTGAAGCTGATCATTCCTTTGTTTTGCGTATCTTTTTATGTTAAAGAAGAATTTTGAACAGAAAAGAACTAAACTAAAAGCAAAATAAAAGAGCTATTTTTTTCACAAGATGATTGAAGTTTGTTCAAATTCTAAATCTGTATCGTTTTAACTGAAATGATGTCACTGACATATTAATATATTTCAAACACTAGAATTTCTAGTAGAAAAAAAAACGAAATTATAGCATAAAGAGACTAGAATTATTCTTAAACTAAATTATTTCTAATTTAATTGGCTGTGGAATAAATCTCGAAGATCATGAATAGAAAACTATCGTCGACAACTAATTAAGACAGTTTATATTTTCATTTGTATCTTTGCACTTCAACATAATTCTGTAGTTTCGGTAGAAAAAAAATACAAAGTGTCTACTCCTCAGGCTGCTTTTTTTATTATCTCTTTGTTATGAAGTAAACAATATAATAAAACTGCACTGAGAATATCATGAAATATATTAAAACATGAATTTCTGGAAATTGTGGATGATGTATAAGACTCGTCAATTAACTTTTTTTCAGTTGTTTTCAATTACAAATCAAATGAAGAAGCCTCATTTTACTGTATAAACTGCCTAAGATGACACCAGTCTGTCGTAAAGTCGAACTTTTATATTAGAAGGTTCGTCTATGGTCAAATACAGAAAAATCAAATGTTCGAGTCTATATTTTGTCTCATATTTTTTCTTCATTTTCGGTTCTCCTAATAGATTTCCACGTAATCAACAGACAAAAGTGACAGACATCATATATCAAATGATGTTTTAGTGTAGCTTGAAATCAGTTATTGACATTTCTGACAAAGTTTCCCATTCCTGATACACATGAAAAACGTATGAAATGAAAGCTGACGAATAGTGTGGACTTTTTTGATTGGTATTATTATGCATTTTGACGTTCTTTTTGCGATCTTAAAGATGTGAGCCAACAACGGACTTTGTTTTGCATACTCAAATAAAAGAATTGTAATTGAATCATTGCAAATATTCGATACAAGGAAGAGAAAGAAAACGAAAAAGCATGAGAAGCAGCATTTCATATGTCATTATATCAGATCAGCAATACAGACAGATTTTATTTTGTTTTTTTTCCGTATATGTCCAAAGTATTGTGGAAAACTTAGCAAAATTAGACGATGGCAAACAATTATCAAGTGTTTATAGATAATACTTGGATAAAATTAAAAATACTTTATCAATCATATGAAATAAAAAGTATTTTAGATAAAGTTTTATTTTCAAAACACATGTTTCGATTTAAAAGACAATTGAGAAATTAAAAATCTTTTGAAGACGAAAAGAAAATTCGACGTAAGTTTTACATATACACAGTATTATATATAATATTATTATTTATTCTTTTTTTAATAGCAACTTATAATGACAAGTAAGAAAATTGAAAAATATTTATGAAATCGATATTATTTTTCTCTTGCTTTTAGAAAAAAAATATGACTTGTTTGGAAAACTTATCACATGAACTTATGAAATTTTCGATTATCTTGATGGTTGTCAATTAGATAAAGCATTTTCAAATATTAATACCCGTTTTCAAGCTTAACTAAATTCTTCATCTCTTCAATTCATAACTGATCTTCGCTTGCATGAGAAAACCTTCTCTGAATATAGTTCTATCAAAATTATACCCTCAAACAAACGTCAAATTATTTCATTTGGCTTGGGCAAGTGTCATCACTATAATTTATGTTTAACAGTATTGCAGATCGATTCATCATTTAATCAACTTGAGACACTTATGTCATATAATATCAAATCAAATGATTTTTCAATATACCATTGATAAAGTTCTATAAATTCTCATTTTCCAAACATTGGTCTATCATTTCTCTATCAATAGCAAACAACGATCAATACAGTGATATTAAATATCTCGTTAGTGATCATGCTTGTATTCTCAATAAGTTGAATAATATACTTTCATATACACTTCAACTGTGTCGTCTTGTTTGTAAAGAACTGGAAAAATCAAAGAAAAAACTCGTCAAAGATGCACTTAACGTTATACTCAGTCTCATTCGTGTTTCAATTTCCCAGTGCTATGTACAATTTGATGAACTAGAAACATTTCTCATAAAGATATCAGCTGAATTAGAAATATTACATATCAATACGTTCCAACATGTAAGTTATTGGGATGCTACTCGATGAAAATGAATTATTTCAAAAAATTTACATCATTTATGTGTATTCGAATTTAAAAATAAAGACTTCGTATTTGAAACATACTCCGAAAACATTATCGACTATGAGAGACTTCATGAATTCAACTCGTTATTTTGAATGAATCGAAGATAGTTCTATACAATTTCTATTGACACAAACTTGTGAGACAAAGTAGTTATTGACTATTCCATTTTCTCATAAAGGTTTATAGGGAAGAATTATTTTTCTAGAGCAAAGTTTTTTTTTTACTGTGTTTCTTATTATAGGTAAACTCAAAGCAATTTTCATAAAAATAAGAAAACTTTCAAGCTTCAATAATTTACGGGATTTTCATACGTCTATGATTCTTTATGAGAGTAACCAATTAACTGTTGTGGACCTCAGACGTTGTCAATATGTTCTAAATTTTTTTGATATATTGGGATTTCATTTTAACTTGAGATACTGATTACCTGTTTGAATGTTACGTTCTAGCAGCTTCTCATTGATATGTTAATCGACTTGATCAAATATTTACCTAATCTTGATTCATTAGTGATATCATCTTTAGTAATGATGCAACCAAAATGTTTAACTGTTGAAAAAACAAGAAATTTTCGTTTATTATCAAATAAGAAAAAAATTATTCATGTCGATCTTAAGTAAATCAGTGCTTTAGAACAAGTTCAGTTTCTTCTTAATTGCTTTTCTCAAATGAAATATATCGAAATGGATTGTACAAATGGTGTTTCATCCAAAAGTGTTGTAAAATTTATTTTAATGAAACATATCAAATATATCCCAACTCTATTTCTTACTTTCTTTTCAGATATCACAAAATAATGAGGGAAGTCGTTGAAAAATTAATAACCATTATTGATTTTGAACAGTTGCGTCAGAACTATACAATAAAATAAGTAGACAATAAGATTTATTTAAAATTAAGCTTGTGATAGATTAGTTGCATTAGAAAGCTTTTAGTAAATTAGATATTTCATATGTATAAAGAAGTTTGTTGTCATTTGCTATTTAAATAGATGCATGAAGCAAAGAGTTAATCTAGCACTTAGGAGAATATAAGGTCAGATTCCAATTTTCTCGTTTAAAATTTCCTTTATATGAGTTTATTATGTTAGCCTATTTGGTCGTATTTTGGACAAAATCGAATATAGTATAGAAAAATATCATTTTGGAAAAATTTTAGCATAAAAATTAGAAGATAAAGTTTAAGAATACTTTTTTTAATCTTTTTTTTTCACCGAACTTTATCGGTATGTTGTGAAAGGGGTTTTTTTATTTTCTCTTCAACCTCACTTTAACAATATTTCAGGCTTTTTTTTGGTTGCGTGTTGGATATTATCAAATAAATGATGAAAGAATTCGCAAATTACACAAAATTTATTGTGATAAACTACATGGTAATCATCTTTTTACATACATATCTAATTAGATCTATTAGAGTATTAAAAGTATTGATCTATCTTATGTAAAACATAAACTATATGCTCTCGATAACATGATTGTTATTATTTATTGTCTATTTAGTTTACTGACGAAATAATTGTAATCTGCTCATATCTATAGTGTACTAACAGATTATTGTTTTTTTCAGTTATTCTTTGATAAGATTGTATATTTTCACTATAGTTTAGAGCAGAAGATCAGGGTAAAATTAATCCAATAATGGATTTATAGTCGCTTGTGTAATCTTCGTTGTCTATTCGTTATCTCAGAACAGTTTCTGATGATATTACCTAGTTCATTATTCTCAGTGATTGCAAGGATGTAAGTGTACTAAGTTTGAATAAAACATGGATACAGAATATATGTAGTTAATGAGTTATTATTAATGACTAATAGCTTGCAAATTTGAATATAAAAATACATAAGACGTCATTTAAAAACAAAATCAAAATATTTATTTCTATTAATTAAATCATCACTACTTTTAACTATCGGATGACTTCACAAAAATTTCGTCTTACATACTCGGAAAAAAAACAACGTTATAAGTGACTCATTGTAAATATTCGATAGAAAAAAAAGATGAAGAAAAAGAAGAAAAATGAAAAAATACTCCACATATTGCTATGTCACATACGCTATGAATGTCAAGATTCTTTAATGTTTTTTCTTGCGCCGTAAATTATTTTGGTAAACTTAGATAAACTACATCACGACAAATAATTTTTGTTACTTTATAGATAATACCATACAATATGAGATAATTATTCAATTATGTAATGTAAGAAATCATTTCAGATAAAACTTTATTTTCGAACACATGCTTCAAGTTAAACGACGATCAAGTAACGGTGAGTCATCAAAAGACACAACAAAAAAACTAAAAAGTACGTTATACATCTAATTGTCGTGACATGATATATTTCTATTTATTTTTACTTAAATAGCGACGTATGATGACAAGTAGGAAGAATGAAAAAATATTTTTTCAATCATTTTTTTCTTTTTTTTCTCTTTTATAGAAAAATAACGAATTGTTTCGAAAATTTATCAAACGAACTGTTCTATGAAATTTTTGATTATCTTGAAGGTTATAAACTATACAAAGCATTTTCAAATCTGAATAGTCGATTTCAAGCTTTATTAGCTTGTTCATCTCTTCGATTGAAAATTGATCTGCGTTTTTATTCAGAAGGTACTCTAGAATATTGTGCTAATTCCATTATCGCTCCAAACAAAGATCGTATTATTTCACTTAGTTTGGCTAATAATATTCTTTATCAATTAAATTTTACTATATTTAACATCGATGCAACATTCAATCGACTTGAGTCACTTGTATTAGAAAGTATCAAATCTAACGAACTCATACCTCTTCTCATAAGCTTGATCTCTTTACCTCGATTATCTTCATTGGAAATCTATTATAATGAAGATAGCAAAGAACTTAGCAATATTTATCAAATAGTTTTTAACTTTCCTATGTTAAACTATTATAAATTGTCACTGTTTGTAGCTGAAGCATCTTATCCTCTATCAATAGCAACTAACGAACAATTTAGTACAATTAAATATTTGATTATCGATCATTGTTGTAGTTTCGATGAGTTAATTACTATACTTTCGTATACACCGCAACTTTGTCGTCTAACTTGTGAACAAGTTAATGAATCTGATGATAACATTGTAGAAGATGCACTTAAAATGATATGCAGTCTGAAACGTGTTTCATTTGCTAAGTTTTATGCAGAATTTGACGAATTAGAAATGTTTCTCAGAAAAGTATCACCTCACTTAGAAGTATTATGTTTCAATAGTTGCAATGATGTAACTTATTTGGATGCTAATCAATGGGAACGAATTATTTCAAAATATTTATCTCATTTAAACAAGCTCGAATTTAAATATGAAGAATCGATTGATGAAGAATTGGTTACAACTATATATCATGAAAACCTTAATGAGTTTAAATCATTGTTTTGGATAAAACGACAATGGTTTTTTAAAATTGCTATCGATACAGATTTTTGGGACAATAATATTATTGTCTACACCATTCATTCATACAGGTTTATTGAAAAAAATCATTTTTTCTAGGAATTTTTATGTCTTTTTCTTTTAGCAAAGATGGAGACATCTTTGAGAAATATAACGGCAACGATCAAAGTTTCATTAATGATATCAGTCACAATATGATAGAAAAAAGTATTGCTCCTGATCAACCAGAGTCCAGTACTTCTTCTACAATGATTTCTGAAAGCAATCATTTAAACATCATTGATCTGTCATATTTTCAGCCTAATGAAACTTATTATGATATGTTGAGTCCCATTTTAACCAATTTATCAATTACCTGTTTAAATATAACACTCAGTACGATTTTCATTGGTACTTTAATCGACTTCATCAGATGTTTGCCTAATCTTGATTCCTTGGTTATTTCATCTTTAGAAATGTTACAACCAAGATGTTTATCTATTGAAGAAACAAGAAACTTTCGATTATTATCAGATAATAATAAAATTACTAAAGTCAATCTTAAGCAAATGAATGATTTGGAAGAAGTTCAATTTTTTCTTGATCTTTGCCCTCGTATGACATATTTCGAAGTGAATTGTACAGATTATGTTGGTCCTGAAAATGTTCTACGATTTATTTTAATGAAAAACATTAGATATATTCGTAATTTATCTTTACTTTGCTTGAAAGTTTCACGAACAAATCTGAACATCGTCGACAACTTAAAACATACAATAGATTTTGAACAATTATGTCATAATTATACAATCAAGCAAATCGACAACAGAATTTATTTAAGATTAACTTGATGTTTACTTGTTTTTTTTGTTTTTTGTAAAATTTTTAGCGAAACTCACATATCATCTGTATAAAGAAGCTTATAGTCACTCGTTAAGAGCACTTGAAGTCCAGATATGATTGAAAGGTACCTGAAGGTAGACTTCTCTTCCATAATTATACCGAAACATCTGACGAGAAATAAGTATATAAAACTTTTACGATAATTGAAAAAAGAAACCACAAAGGTAATCACAAATATCAAACCGAATGGATAATATATTTCTAATTTTTTTATTAAAAACTTTTATTCAAATAAATTAAATCATTATAGTTTCCTTTTAATTATGAAGTATGAGTTTAGTTAAAAGATTACTTTAAATTACAAGATGATTCATTGATTCATATCATCACTTTGAATTGAAATATAATAATTCTTAGAATAGTGAACAAATAAGAGGGTGGATGTGGGTGTGGTGTGTGTGTGAGTCTGAAAAGAAGTAACACCCATACCCACACCCCACACCCCACAGCTACAGCCACACACTCCACAGCCGCAGCCACACACCCACACCCCTGCTTAGATCTACTACTTGCCAGCGGTTAAAGCAAAACTAATGAGCATTTCTTTCGAGCGCTTCTTTCCATTTGATCTTACTCTTCTCATGAGAAGAAACAATGAAAAGTTGATTTTTTTAAAAAGCGGTGTAAATATAAGTGTCGGTTCTGAATGTATTACAAAGAAGAAGAGGAACTACATCAGTTATCTATGAATTTTTTTTCATCGATTAATACTATTGTAATTTCGAAATTGTCCTACATTTTTCTGTTAAGTTGATCTACTCTCTTCGCTGTTTTCCTTTATGTCTCAATGAAGTACCAACATAGATCATGTTTTGTAATTAAAAATTGCTACAATCTAGGTAATACACCGATTGTAATAAGCTCAATGCAAGTTGTGTCGTTAAAAAAGTTTAGAGAGTAGCTTTCGAATAATTTTATAGTAATATGACCTTCATGCATAAGCACACCTTAGTTAATCGACTTTTGTGTTCAAGACAAATCTCTTTTCAGTTTTAACTATGAATGTTTAGTTTACTAGATCCTTTTTTCTTATGAGTTAGACAAAAATTAATTAAACTGAGACCAAAGGTCTTAGTGTTTCAAATATTAAAAGGCATTCACCGATGGACTCTTCAAACATCGCATATTCCGTATATCATGTTAAATCGAGTTTTATTGTATTCTATTAGTAAATGGTTTTTCTTATTTAACAAATATTATAAACTTTCATATAGTTAGAATAAAAATCCAATCATGCTCGTTAATTGAAATAAGTATAAAAGTTTCTGTTATACCCACTAATTCACTTTCCAAAGCAACAAAGAAGTGGATATAGCCACTTTACTAGCTAGTTCAGTTATTATAAGAATATCGTATTTTCTTATATCAAAAGTATTATTTTCCAATTAAAACAAAAGACCGCACTGGAATGCATACTCATTAGTAACAGGCAAAAAAGAAACGATAAGTCTGCAGCATTTTTGACTCCACGATTAAACGGTCCAATGATACTTCTTTTTGCTTCTCTCTGAACGACAATATGTCTCAAAAATCGTTCATAAGTTACCACAGTATGACTATTACTCTGAGAATCATTAATATAAAAAGGTTTTAACAGTATTGCAAACACTCATCTTTCAATTTTTTAAGAACCTATAAAATGCATATCATACTATGCAAATTTTGCAATTCTTATAAAAGTATTAAACAAAGCTCAACCATACAAAGCGCTTTTAGACATTGTTTCTATTAGTTTAGTGAAATTCATACGAGCATACGTTAGAATTCTGTTGGAGTTCAATTGATAAATATCGTGACGAGATCTTTGTACTCTTGCATTAATCAACGTTTTAATACGTGACATTATTATATTTTGGAAAACATCAAATTCAAATAATAGTAAAGAAAAGCATAGAACTAACATGTTTTATGACCACCTGGACCTAACAAATCAGATATGGTATAAACAAACCAGTAGAAGAACCACTAGTTATAGATACTATAAGCTCTGCTTTATTATATCATGACTTTTAGCAACAATTTTATAGCGAGATATCTACTTTTTCATTGTTTTTTCTCATGAGAAGAGTAAGATCAAAGGGAAAGAAGCGCTCGAAAGAAATGCTCATCAGTTTTGCTTTAACCGCTGGCAAGTAGTAGATCTAAGCATTCTAAAAAAGTTTGNTATACTAGGTGTTCGCTTTATCTGTATGGCAGATAAAGCGACCATTTAGCGAGAAAATGTTGGTAAAGCGAACGCCCTAGCTATTTTTGTTAGACATAATCTACTTTTTCATTGTTTTTTCTCATGAGAAGAGTAAGATCAAAGGGAAAGAAATGCTCATCAGTTTTGCTTTAACCGCTGGCAAGTAGTAGATCTAAGCATTCTAAAAAAGTTTGTCAAATGGCATCACGGTAAATTTTGCTTCTAAGAAGCGAAAATGATTGAAATATTCTCAAGTAGATTATGTCTAACAAAAATAGCTAGGGCGTTCGCTTTACCAACATTTTCTCGCTAAATGTTCGCTTTATCTGCCATACAGATAAAGCGAACACCTAGTATATTTAAAAAAAATCAATAAAAAATCGAAAATACATTCGATTGAGCTGAACTGCTGGAATTAGATAGAGTTCAAGAAGAGGAATCGAATCATGTCATTTAAAAAAAGAAATATTGAAATCTTCAAGCAGGAATGCTTAAATTCGCTAATTGATGACATTTTTGCTTGTTCTGTGCTGGAGTGTTCGCTTTACTAACATGACGGATAAAGCGAACGTTTTAGATGTGTCATCGTATACCGCTAATTACTCAATCATTAGAGCACCTAGAATCTTTTTTTTTCATATGAGTAGATAGAGTAATCATTTCTCTTCCCAACTACATAAAAAGAAAAATTTGATTCCCTAAAATAACTGATATATACGAGATAGAACAGAGGCATCCTCGAAAAGCGTTCGCTTTACCAACATTGACTCTATCTCATAAGACGTCATGACTAGTCCAGACATATGTTTCAAAATTATTGAACTAGTCTAGTACCGTCATCAAACTATCTCATAAAACATTGGCTAGTCCTCAGAATATCTCGGACTAGTCCAGTCTCGTCATAATGCTAACTCATAAAAATATTGACTAGTCCTCAGAGTATCTCAGACTAGTCTTGACGCATATTTCGGAAATATTAGACTAGTCCTGTCGTGCCACTCTGACGCTTTTTAAAATACCGACTAGTCATGACGCCCAAATTCAGTATTTTAGACTAGACAGGACGGGTATTGTGGACGTTTCGGACTAGACATGTTGCGAGTCTTCAATACTTTTTTGCTTGCCTGGGTCTTTTATTTTTGTTCTTTCTCTTCTTTTTTCATTATCTATTCCCTGTCCTATCGCTGCTTATTTTTTTTCCTTCTCTCTATCCACTCTTTTGACGTATTTTTCAATATGTCCACATGCGTGATAAGAACTTCAGTATATGAATATCGATGTAGTCTACATATTGCTTGGCACCATGATGTAGACGTCAGCGCAAAAGTCATACATCAATTTCTCTAACATGTGAGTACCTCCGTTTGTAACTTCCTGTTACATGAAGAAAAAAAAAGAATCTAGTAAATTCTACGCTCTTATCTTATCAACGTTCTCAAGTATTCATGCAAAAAGCCAAATATATAAGCGTCTACAAGCTTGATAAAGCAGTCATTTCTTTTCGTTTATCAACATCACATCTTCACTCATAAGCAAATTGTTTTGGTAATTATTTTCATTGTCTCTTTAGTCAATATTTCTCTTTGTAACGAAGTTACATGCTATTGTTGGTGTTGTGCTGGCAATTNTACTAGAGCTTTTTTTCTTATGATGCGTTAGCCAAAAATTAATTTAACGGTAACGAAAGGTCTCAGTGTTTCAAATATGAAAAGGTATTCAGCAATGGACTCTTCAAACATCACATATTTCGTATATCATGTTAAATAGAGTTTTATTTTATTTTATTAATAAATGGTTCTTTTATTTAACAAATATTATAAAATTTCATATAGTTAGAATAAAAATCCAATCGTTCTAGTTAATTGAAATAAGTATAAAAGCTTCTGTTATACCCACTAATTCACTTTCCAAAGCAACAAGGAAGTGGATATAGCTACTTTACTGGCTAGTTCAGTTATTATAAGAATATCCTATTTTCTTATATCAAAAGTATTATTTTCTAATTAAAACAAAAGACCGCACTGGAATGCATACTCATTAGTAACAGACAAAAACGAATCAATAAGTCTCCATCATTTTTGGCTGCACGATTAAACGGTCCAATGATATTTCTTTTTGCTTCTTTCTGAATCACAATATGTCTCAAAAATCGTTCATAAGTTACCACAGTATGAATATTACTCTGAGAATGATTGATATAAAAAGGTTTTAACAGTTGTGTAAACACTCATCTTTCAATTTTTTAAGAACCTATAAAATGTGTATCATACTATGCAAATTTCACAATCCTTATAAAAGTATTAAACAAAGCGCAACCAAACAAAACCGTTTTTAGATACTGTTTCTATTAGTTTAATGAAATTCATGCCAGTATGAATTATAATTCTGTTGCAGTTCAATTGATAAATGTCGTGACGAAATCTCTGAAGTATTGTTCTAATCAGCGTTTTAATAAATGACATTATTATAGTATTTTGTAAAACATCAACTTCAAATAATAGTAAAGAGAAGCATAGAAGTAACATGCCTTATGACTATCTGGACTCAATAAATCTACTAGGGTTGCAAAGAAACCAGTAGAAGAATCACTAGTTATAGATACTATAAGCTCTTCTTTATCATATCATGCCTTTTAGCAACAATTTTATAGCGATACATCTACTTTTTCAGTGTTTTATCTAATGAGAAGAGTAAGATCAAAGGGAAAGAAGCGCTGGAAAAAAGTACTCACTAGTTTTGCTTGAACCGCTGGTAGGTAGTAGATGTAAGCATTCTGAAAACAATTGTCAAAAGTCATCATGGTAAATTTTGCTTTTGAGAATCAGAAATGATTGAAATACTTTCAAGTAGATAATCTGCAGCAAAAATAGCTAGAGAGTTTGCTTTACCAACATTTTCTAGCTGAACGTTCGCTTTATCTGCCATACAGATAAAGCGAACACCTAGTATATTTTAAAAAAATTAATAAAAAATCGAAAGTACATTCGATTGAGTTGAACCACTGGAATTAGATAGAGTTCCAGGAGAGGAATCGACTCATGTCATTTGAAAAAAGAAATATTGAAATTTTCAAGCAGGAATGCTTAAATTCGCTAATTAATGACATTTTTGCTTGTTCTGCACTGGAGTGTTCGCTTTATCAAGAATTTTTTTGCTTAGCGTTCGCTTTATCAACATGACGGATAAAGCGAACGTTTTAGATGTGTCATTTTATACCGCTAATTACTCAATCATAAAAGCACCTAGAATCTTTTTTTCATATGAGCAGATAGAGAAATCATTTCTCTTCCCAACTACATCGAAAGAAAAATTTTACTCCTTAAAATAACTGAGATATACGAGATAGAACAGAGACACCCTCGAAAAGCGTTCGCTTTACCAACATTGACTCTATATATGCGTATAAAAAGAAAATACCATATGACACATGAAAGTATGTTGGATAGACATGATGTAATGATTCCATATAAGGAAGAACATTGCTATAGAACTACTTTAGATAATTGACATACTCGCCTCATCGTGACTATATCGTAGTCATCATTAGTGTAGGTTTTTTCCAAGATACGAAGCCAATATTCATGCTGCATATTTTGTGCAGAATTGTCTGAATCACTCAACTGTTTTTTTCCACACAATACAATGCATCGACAGCGTCCATGTGCTCCTCTTTCTCTTTTCTTTCATTCCTCTCTCGTTTTTTCTTGCTTCGCAATGATGATACAAGCTGGAAAGAAAGGAAATAAAGAAACATGAGAAGCCAGATTAAAGAAAAAAAGAAAGAAGAGCACTAGGACGATGTCGACGCATTGGATTGTGCGGGAAAAACCCAGTTGAGTGATTCAGACAATTCTGCACAAAATATGCAGCATGAATATTGGCTCCGTATCTTGGAAAAAGCCTACACTGATGACGACTACGATTTATAAGAGGAACATTAACGGTGAGACGATAGTGACAAAACAAGCTGGATCTTTCAAACAATCACGAAAATTTGCTTCACAATCAATCATCAAGTGAGTAACTTTGTGCCAAAAGAGTGCAATCCAATAGCGCTAGGACTATGTTTCGATGTGTTCCATGCTCATTGCTTAAGACAGAGCAAGGTGGAATGAATTAAAACAGGATTTTTATTTAGCATTGAAATTGAAATATCTCTAGAATTTTCATTCATTCATTCATTCATTTTATTTTCCTCTTATCCTTTGCGGATCGAGGTTTTATGCATGTTCAACAGATCTTTCCATCGATCTCGATTATTTGCTGCAGAAATAACATCGGTCCATGAAAGTCTCGGAATCGCTCTTGACATATACGCGCGATAGAAGACATCCAAGATTCTCGAGGATCATACTCGCTATTGTTTGAGGATTGCGATACAACAGTGAAGTACTCCTGTCTCACTTTGACTATGTCTTTGTTTAGTCGAGTGCACTTCACGATAAGTATCATAGAAGATGAGTCAAGAACAAGACCTCACAGCTGTGGTAATCGACAATGGCAGTGGTAAGTGCAGTTTATATGAGTTTGTATCTCTATGCTGATACTCTTTTGTTTCTCCAAGGTATGATCAAAGCTGGTTTTGCTGGTGATGATGCCCCACGCGCTGTGTTCCCATCGTTTGTCGGTCGACCCTTTTTTGTTGGAATGGTTCCAAATGATTTCTATGTTGGTGCTGAAGCCCAATCGAAACGTGGTGTTCTCGCTTTGAAGTATCCGATTCAAAATGGCCTTGTGACAGATTGGGATGACATGGAAAAGATTTGGCATCATATACTAGACGACGTGCTACGTGTTGCACCTAAAGAGCATCCACTTCTCCTTACGGAAGGGTATCTGAATCCAGCAGCCAATCGAGAGAAGATGATAGAGAGCATGTTCGAAACATTCCAAGTGCCGGGTAGGATGGAGATGATCAAGATGTTTTAGTTGGAAAGGAACAGTTTCTTCTCTTTTTTTTCTCAGCAATGTATGTGGCCAATCCAGCTATTTTGGGATTGTACGCGTCAGGTCGTACGACAGGCGTTGTTCTCGATTCGGGTGAGGGTGTGACGCATGTCACCTCTGTCTACGAAGGATATACAATCCCAAATACAACCCTTCGTTCGGATGTGGCAGGAGGAGATCTGACAGATTATTTGATGAGACGATCACGTGGACCGCGTGGCTATTTATTTTCTACCACAGCTGAACGGGAAATTATTCGTCACATGAAAGAGAAAGTTTGTTATGTTGCCTTGGATTTCGCAGAAGAAATTGCCACATCATCATTGTTGGAGACAGCTTATGAACTACCAGACGGTCAAGTGATCACCTCTGGTGATGAACGATTTCGTGCTCCTGAAGTCTTATTTCAACCCAACCTCCTAGAGAGAAGTGGAGATGGTAAGAGTAATTCAATCATTCCTTGCGTTCTCATTCACATTCTCTTCTTCAGGCCTTCCTAAAATAGTCTGCGATTCCATTGAGCAATGTGAAAAGGGTATTCAGAGAGATTTGTTTCGCAACATTGTTCTTGCTGGTGGTAAGTTGACAACGAATAGATGTATGGAAAATAGTGCGTCTGTGTGTTTAGGAACAACAATGCTTTCAGGTCTAGCTGATCGAATGCGAAAGGAGATCAGAGCCTTGGTACCCTCAACGTTTCCAGTCAAGATCATTGCTCCACCTGAACGAAACATTGCGACTTGGATTGGTGGTTCAATTCTCGCATCATTGTCGACATTTCAGCAGATGTTCATTTCTAAGCAGGAGTTTGAGGAATCAAGTTCAGCGATTGTTCATCGAAAATGTTTTTAAACCGCATTCTTGTCTCAAGATGTTGAGCGATGGATGTGTGCGTGTAAATAGATTGAAATAAATGACATTCAGATCGAATGAGTCGATCAGTTCTGAGTGAAGAGTGAAAGTAGAGTTTTGATTGATTAACAAGATGTGAAGGAAACATCTCTGCATTTGGATGTTTCTAAATAATGATAGCGATGTTGAAAATTTCTTGACCAGTGATGTCTCGTTTCAGCGTTCGAAATCACTTGAGAAAAATCTTTTCTTTTACGAAATTCGCTTGAAAAATAGTTGTGGGTGTGGGCGTGGGGTGTGAGTGTACCCCTTCATTGTTTCCACTCCCACACCCACACCACACCCATGTCCACATCCACACCCACACCCCAATAAAGGCTGTATCAGGAAAGATAATGGTTGTCCCACATAGAGCATAAAATATGCAATTGTATGCTGACCTTTCGAAAACCTTCCATCTAGAGAAACGCCGGAAAAACTAAAAAAAGCTCTTTAAAAACAACGAATTTAGTGAAAAAAATCAGTAAGTCAACCGAATATGCGTATCATGACTTGTGCCAATTACGAAAGCAGTTGTGCCAGGTAGAGGGTGAGTGCAGGTGTGGATGTGGAAGCAATGAAGGGGCACACCCACACCCACACCCACACCCACACACCCTACCCATACCCTAACCGGCAGCTCACAGTATATTTGACGGCACTTCTACAAAAGACGCACCGCCTCACCCACACTTAGGCATGCACCAAACCCAAACTCAAACCCAAACCGTTTGGGAGTTTGGGTTTGGGTATTGAGTTTGGGTTTGGGTTTGGGTTTGGGTATATGAGTTTGGGTTTGGGTTTGGGTTTGGGTATATGAGTTTGGGTTTGGGTTTGGGTTTGGGTATTGAGTTTGGGTTTGAGTTTGAGTTTGGGTTTGGGTTTGGGTGTGGGTATTGTGTTTGGGTTTCAGTGNTACCCACTAATTCACTTTCCAAAGCAACAAGGAAGTGGATATAGCTACTTTACTGACTAGTTCAGTTATTATAAGAATATCGTATTTTCTTATATCAAAAGTATTATTTTCCAATTGAAACAAAAGACCGCATTGGAATGCATACTCATTAGTAACAGACCAAAACGAATCAATAAGTCTACAGCATTTTTGGCTGCACGATTAAACGGTCCAATGATATTTCTTTTTGCTTCTTTCTGAATCACAGTATGTCTCAAAAATCGTTCATAAGTTACCACAGTATGAATATTACTCTGAGAATCATTGATATAAATAGGTTTTAACAGTTGTGCAAACACTCATCTTTCAATTTTTTAAGAACCTATAAAAAGTGTATCACACTATGCAAATTTCGCAATCCTTATAAAAGTATTAAACAAAGCGCAACCAAACAAACCGTTTTTAGATACTGTTTCTATTAGTTTAATGAAATTCATGCCAGTATGCGCTAGAATTCTGTTGCAGTTCAATTGATAAATATCGTGACGAAATCTCTGAACTATTGTTCTAATCAGCGTTTTGATAGGTGACATTATTATAGTATTTTGTAAAACATCAAGTTCAAATAATAGTAAAGAGAAGCATAGAAGTACAATGCCTTATGACTATCTGGACCCAATAAATCTGATAGGGTAGCAAAGAAACCAGTAGAAGAATCACTAGTTATAGATACTATAAGCTCTTCTTTATCATATCATGCCTTTTAGCAACAATTTTATAGCGAGATATCTACTTTTTCAGTGTTTTATCTAATGAGAAGAGTAAGATCAAAGGGAAAGAAGCGCTGGAAAAAAAGTAGTCATTAGTTTTGCTTGAACCGCTGGTAGGTAGTAGATGTAAGCATTCTGAAAACAATTGTCAAAGGTCATCATGGTAAATTTTGCTTTTGAGAATCAGAAATGATTGAAATACTTTCAAGTAGATAATCTGCAGCAAAAATAGCTAGAGCGTTCGCTTTACCAACATTTTCTAGCTGAACGTTCGCTTTATCTGTCATATAGATAAAGCGAACACCTAGTATATTTTTAAAAAATCAATAAAAAAATCGAAAATACATTCGATTGAGCTGAGCCGCTGGAATTAGATAGAGGTCAAGGAGAGGCATCGAATCATGTCATTTGAAAAAAGAAATATTGGAATTTTCAAGCAGGAATGCTTAAATTCGCTAATTAATGACATTTTTGCTTGTTCTGCGCTGGAGTGTTCGCTTTATCAAGAATTCTTTTGCTTAGCGTTCGCTTTACCAACATGACGGATAAAGCAAACGTTTTAGATGTGTCATTTTATATCGCTAATTACTCAATCATAAAAGCACCTAGAATCTTTTTTTTCATATGAGCAGATAGAGAAATCATTTCTCTTCCCAACTACATCAAAAGAAAAATTTTACTCCTTAAAATGACTGAGAAACACGAGATAGAACAGAGACACCCTCGAAAAGCGTTCGCTTTACCAACATTGACTCTATATTGAAAGAAAAGCTTCGAGGGCGACAGTATAACAGTCTTGAACATTTGAAAAATGATATTAGAAGCGAATGGAATGAATTTAGTGTGTCTTTATGTCGACGGATGATAGATAAAATTCCAGAAAGATTAAAATTAGTTATCGATAAAGGTGGTAATCAAATATAGACTCATTGTTAATTTGATTCATTTTTTTATATTTGTATATCTTATTCCGATGATAATAAACTAGATGATGACGAGATTGTAAAAACTAGCACATGATACTTTTAGTAAGAAGCCTTGGAAATAGTAACTTTCCTGTTATTTTCACATCATATTTAGCTATCGGAAAATTTTGAAAAAATTTCATCACAGTATTTGTGCCGTTTCTCATCACTATGATGAGATATAAACTTGAAACTTTGTAGTTATGTAGTACTAGGTAGGCCCCACAATCTATAAAAATTTCAAAAAAATTCGCTTATAATAAATGTGAAAATGATAACTTTTAAAAATCATTTCAGAACTTCTGGGACACCCTTTATGACTTTATCTAAATTAACTGATAAATTTCCAGAACAAGTTAATTAATCTCAGTAGTATATCAACATATATTTGAATTTATTGAATAATTTTGAAAGAACAAAATATAATTGTTAGCTGAGTTATAGAATAATAAAAGTTGTCTTTTTGTTAATGAGAAATCACTCTTAACAAGCCTGAATATTTTTTAATGCGGGGAAAAAATGAAGACCATTATAAGATGAAAGAAATTCAAATTAAACGAATGCGAAAACGTATATATTAATGAAATCTACCTTTTAAAATTTCTTTTTTATTCTTGTAGTACATGGCAAAAGATTTAAGTTGCTTGATTATTATGAT